CAGGCGCGGTGGCTCAAAGCCTGTATCCAGCACTTTGGGGATGCGAGACGGCGCGGATCCGAGGGTCAGGAGATCAGAGACACCTGGCTAACACGGTGGAAAACCCGTTGTCTCTACCAAAAAATACAAAAAACTACCGGCGATTTTGTGTGTTTGCGTTTTGCGCCTGTTAGTCCCAGCTACTTTTGTGTTGTGGCTTTATTGTCAGGATGTTAAGCAGGAACTGCTGAGAGTGCGGTCGCCTGCAGTGAGCTGGATCCGGCCATGCACTCCAGCGCCGGGCACAGAGTGCAGACTCCGTCTCAAAAAAAAAACTCCTGACCCGCCCGTCTCGGCCTCCCAAAGTGCTGGGATTACAGGCTTGAGCCACCGCGCCCGGCTTGTGTACTTTTTCTCAAGCAAGTTTCTATCATGTTTGTTTCCTATTTTACTATTTTTTTCATGAAAGAGGAAACCCTATTTATACCTTTATTTTTTATTTTTTTCGCGTGTGTTTTTTTGAGACAAGTTCTCACCCTGCCACCCAGGCAGGAGTGCAGTGGTGTAATCTTGGCCTCACAGCAACCTCGACCTCCCAGGCTCAAGCCATCCTCCCACCTCCACCTCCTGAGTAATGGACTACAGGCATGCACCACTACACCAGCTAATTTTTAAATTTAACACATAGTTATTTAGACGTGTGTGCTTTAATATCCAAAAGTCTGGACTTCCTTGGATTCTCTCTTTTTTCTTTCTTTTATTTATTTTGAGACAGGGTCTTGCTCTGTCACTCAGGCTGGAGTGCAGTGGCACAATCATAGCTCATTGTAACCTCAAACTCCTGGGCTCAAGTGATCCTCCCACCTCAGCAGCCCCAGTAACTGGGAACACAGGCGTGAGCCACCACACCTGGCTAATTTTTGTATTTTTGGTAGAGTCAGGGTTTTGCCGTGTTGCCCAGGCTGACCTCAATCTCCTGGGCTGAAGCAGTCGTCCCACCTCTGCGTCACAAAAGGCTGGTATTACTGGCGGGAGCCACTGCACCTGACCGATAAATGTTTATTTTATTAATATTATTTTTTGAGACGGAGTCTCACTCTGTAGCCCAGGCTGGAGTGCAGTGGTGCCATCTCAGCTCACTGCAATCTCCGCCTCCCGGGTTCAAGCAATTCTCCTGCCTCAGCCTCCCAAGTAGCTGGGATTACAGGCGCCCAACACCACACCTGGCTAATTTTTGTATTTTTAGTAGAGATGGGGTTTTACCATGTTGGCCAGGCTGGTCTCAAACTCCTGACCTCAGGTGATCCACCCACCTTGGCCTCCCAAAGTGCTGGGACCACAGGCGCAAGCCACTGTGCCCAGCCTCGTCTTCTTTATAGCATTAAGAGATCATGCTTTTTATGGAGTAAGAAACTATAAATACCACTCCTTGTTCATATTTCCAGAAATCTCTTTTATTTCTTTAGATATATAAACACTGTTACTTTATATTCCCTCTGATAATTCCAGGATCTGGGTCTACAGAGTCTATCTGTTGCTTCTGCTGGGTCTCATAGTGTGTTGTTTCCTGTGGTGTTTATGAATTTTTAAAACCGGAGATCTCATTTTCTTTTTTCTTTTCTTTTTCTTTTTTCATAGAGATGGGGTCTCTCACTGCGTTGCCCAGGCTGGTCTCGAACTCCTGGCCTCAAGTGCTGGCATTCCAGGCGTGAGCCACCACGCCCGGCTGAGATGTTCCTTTTCCTTGGAACTTGATCAACACAAAATCCTGAGGCCTGGTGTGGTGGTGTTCCTCTGGGGCAGATTCTCAAATGGGGACACTTCTGCCCCCAAAGACACATTTTGACGTCCTGAGACATTTCCGGGTGTCATAACGGTGTGCACGCACATGTATGTACCTGCACATGCTACTGGCACCTCGTGGATAGAGCCCAGGGACGCTGCTCACATCCTGCAAGGAGACTGACCTGCCCTGTGTCCTTAGGGTGGGCTCCCGGCAGGGTCTGCATGTTCCTCTGCCAGCCACCTAGACCCTGCCAGTCGGGCCACTTTAAATTCTCCCCTCGTGGTCTCCAGGGCAACACACTAGCCTGATTTCAAGCTGTAAACTTGGAGGACCTATTTTTTTTCACCTTGCACGGAATACCAAGGCTGAGAGGCAGTTTTTCTGGAGGTGCCAGCCTGTCTCACATTTCCGCTTTAGCTGCGGGGTCCAGCTCTGTGGGCGGTCTCCTGATGAAGTCACCCCGGGACAGACACTGTTCTGTCTCCTGCTTCCAGCCCTCTAAAGATGCCAGGATCCCCCAGGGCATGGCAGGCACCCTCAAAGGCAGACGTGGGGAGGCCCTGGTGGGCAGACCCCATCCTGCTGACGGGGGGGCTTCTCCCCGGCTGTCACTGGCCCACCCACTGCGCTGCAGTCCACCTGGTGCTGGGGGTGTGGGGCACAGGCCCTCAGGATCCGCTCCCTTTCCTGCCCGGGAGATCCAGGCCTGGCATCCTTATGTCCCCTGGAAAGCCCACTCCCATCCTCAGGGTAGGAGGGCAGCTGCACGCTGGGCTGGCTTGGGCCTGTCCTGGGACACCCCTACAGGCCAGGTGCAGCCGGGGATGCGGCTCAGTGGGGTTGCTGTGGGCAGGTTAGCATGGAGCTGGGTTCCGGAAGGGAGTTGCCCCGCTGCCTGCCAGGACCCCTCCTCTGAGACAGGTGCTTTGTGGGACCGTGTATCAAAGTGCCCTGGACATGAGGGGTCCCTGTACCCCACACACTGACCCCACATCGGGTTCTCGCACGCTCGCCCCATACACCCATCGGCTCCGTATCGGGTTCCTGCCGCCCCACAACACTGCCCCCTATCGGGTCTGGCGCGCCACACACACTGGCCCCTATCGTGGGTTCCGTCGGTGCCGCCCCACCTCACCACTGCCCGCCTATCGGCTTGTTCCGCGCCCCATACCACACTGCCCCTATCGGTTCCTGCGCACCCACACACACTGTCGCCCGTATCGTTCCTGGCACCATCCATACAGCACTGCCTCCGTATCGGGTTCCTGCACCCGCATACACACTGCCCCCTATCGGGTTCCTGCCGCGCCCACACAAGCACTGCCCCCTATCGGGTTCCTGCGCCCCACACACACTGCCCCCTATCGGGTTCCTGCGCCCCACACACACTGCCTCCCCTTCGGGGCCTTGGGCTGCAGAACCCATCCATGATGTTGCTGTGCCCCTGGTTCGGGTAGCGCTGGGGCCCTCCAGGCTGGGCTGAGCAGGGGCCCCCCACCAGTGTGTACCCCAGCACCAGCGGGAGTGGGCCTGGGCAGGGGGACAGGAATGACACCCAAGGGGACCTGCTCCAGCCTCCTCCTGTCCCCTGGGGGTTCTCGTTTTCCTTGGCTGAGGGAAGTGGCCTCTCCCAGCTGAAACCTGGGGTCAGGCTGGGCATAAGAGGAAAGGGGGGTGAGCAGGACCCCAGACCTTGAGAATCCTGAGTGGGGGGAGCAGACAGGCTTTGCCTGTGACGTGCCTGGGAGCTGTCTGGGGGCCCTCCTGGGGAGCCAGGCTCACAGGTTGTTGTGTGGGACTCAACGTGCGGCAGTTTCCTGGCCAGGATGAGGAAGACCATCACCCCAGGGTCTGCGGGAGGCACATGCGGGCCAAACTCTCGCCCGCCTGGCCCCCAGATCCGCTGCAGCCAGAGTCCCTCAGCCTTGGCCAAGACCTGAAGTCCGACTGCTATCCCTGGGGCTTCCCTGCCAGGCGGGCACCCCCCGTTTACAGGCCATCCCCACCCCCTCCATCTGCTTCCGTCCGAGCTACAGCCACCTTGTCCTGGTGCCCTGGTTGAAGGGGGAAGCTGCCCTTGGACCCGCGTCGGAGCCGCCCCGCGCCCTCTGCTGGCCGTTGTCGGAAGTGCAGTCTGGCGAGAGCAGTGCCTTTCCCTGGAGATGGGACCCAGGGCAGCACCGCTGGAAACGGGGGGCGGTAATCATGGAGGGGTCCCCCACTGTCCACTGACAACGGCAGTAGTAGCTGCGGACTATGCGGACTCAAGAGAGTCCCAGCCCATGTCAGCACCAGGAGCCAAAACGGAGTCAAGGGCTTGGTGCGGGGGCCAGTCGGAGGCAGGCCTGGGGAGCCCATCTGGCAAGGGGGGCAGGAAGGCGCCCACTCCGGGACTGTGCCTGGGCCTGCAGGGGGTCTCCAGCCAGAGAGGGTGGGTGCGATGGGACGCACACCCTCGAAGGGCTGAGTGCCAGGCCGGCCCTGGGGGCCCGCGCTGCCCACACGGACTAGATGAAGGTGGAATCCAGAGGCCCCCCGTCCTGTTGGCTCAGGGCGCGGGCCTCAAACAGCTGCTTAATGAGCGCCGACTTCTCTTGCTCCAGCTGCGTGATGCGCTCACTCTTCTCGGTCACCTCCTGGGCAGGTGCGCAGTTGGTCAAGGCCTGCGAATCCCCATCCCCGCACCCCTCCCGGCTGCCTTACCCGGATGAGGAGTCACCCACCCACACCCCTCCCGCGCCTGCCCTACCTGAGTGAGGAGTCGGTTCTGCTCCTTCAGCATGAGGATGGTCTGCTGCTGCCAGCCCAGGGGTGAAGTGGACGTCAGGGCAGGGCAGGGGGGCCCGGAGGAGGACGAGGGCAGGACCTGCGGGAGGGCAGGATTAGGCAGGCCTGGACGAGGGCTGGGAAGCACTAAACTGGCCTGGGCCCCAGCGTGGGCGTGGGGGTTTGGGATACACTCACCCGACTGGCACAGGCTGCAGCCAGCAGCTCCCCCAGGCACCGGGCCACCTCCTGTACCTTGGGCAGTAGCCGCCCCAGTGGGCGGGGGCTACCTGCAGCCCCACAGTCCTGGGAAGAAAGCAGAGGACGAGTGGTCAGAGAAGAGGGCCAGCCAGGGCCAGCATGGTGCCTTGACAGGGGTTGCCACAGGTGGCTCTCCTGCCTCCTGATGCTGCAGAGAGCCCAGAGGGATCCCAGGGGCATTGCTGACGTGGGATGGGAGGTCTGCCCAAGGCGCCTTAGGCCCTAGGAGTGGGGCAGCCACGGGGGGAAAAAGGGATGTCCCAGCACCCTGGGTGCAATTGACAGCCACTGTGTCCGGGAATAGGGGCAGCCATAATGCCCAGGGGTGCCTGGGGTTAGCTGGGGTCTCCAAGTGTGGGGACCTGGGGACAGGGTGGTGGCACTCACGGCGCTGGCTCTGCTCTGGCCCAGGCGGCGCTGGCGCTCCTGCACTCGTTGCAGCTGCTGCTGGTACCAGTCACGGCCCCGTGCCATCATCTCCAAACCCTGCAGCAGCACCTCCTTCTCCTGCTCCAGCTCCTTCATCTGCTTCAGCTGCAACACGTGCATGTACATGGAATGCCTGGCCCCAGTGAGCACGCACACGTCCATGCATGCATGAGCTTGCCTGTGGGTGGGCACCAGAGTCACAGGCACAAATGCAGCAGCACATGTACACGTTTGCAAACACAGGCACGGACGCATGCTTCTGAGGACACCTGTGTGTGTGAGCCCCGTAGGCCGGTTTGGAGCAGGAACCCTGTGCCTCCTGCTGAGGGGTCTTGGCTCTTCTTAGCCCCTCCACTCAGGCTTCCCTGGGGGAGGGGTGACTGACCCTTCAGCTGAGCCCACCCTCCCGAGGTCCACCTGTGGTGAACACACAGCAGGGGAGCCAGACTGGCTTGCAGCAGTGACCTCGTGAGGCAGGCTGGGCAGCCACCATAGCTGTCCTAAACGACCTCTTGACCTCCCTCTGCCTGACCCTGGACCGTCCCTCCAGGGGATTCAAGCCCACGTGGGGAGAGAGACGTGCAGAGCCGACTGTACTTCCACAATCGACTCCCCCAGGCTCAAGGCCCTCCTGCTCCCATCCCAGCCTCCAGCCTCCAGACAAGATGGAGAGCCCCACAGAGCCCCAGCCCCTGCTCACCAGGCCGCAGTCCACGCCGCTGGTGATAGTGTGCCTCCGACGTTCCCCTCGGGCACGGGGGGCCCGCCGGGCATCCCCTGAGTCCACCTCCAGGGCCCTGCAGGCCACTGCACCTATTGTGGAGAGGCATGGGCCTGGCTCACCTCCAGACCAGCCTGGCCAGGCTCTGCTGAGGTACAGCAGCCTCCACATCTCAGCCCACTCTTGAGGTCTCGGGCACCAGCCTGGCATGGCCCATGTGTAGCCTCTGTGCCAGGCTGGAGTTTGGTCCCTCTCCCCTGCCCCAGCTCCTCACACTGGCTTGAGGAGGGTTGTGCCGCCAAGCCCGCATGTTTGCTCATACACACGCCCTGCCCCATCGCTCCATGAGCTCCCTGGGGCCAGGGGCCTTGTCCAGCTCTTTTCTGCACTCCCAGTGCCCAGAACATTGCAGGCACAGCCTGGGTCTCCAAGGCGGCTGGGTAAGGGAAGAGTGGGCAGGGGATTCTGGTCCTGACTATGCCTCTCCCATCTGCACGGGGCCCTGCAAGGCAGCAAGAGATGTGGATGTGAATGATGGAAACCTAACTTTTCTTAGGATGGTGACTCTGATAGAAAGTTAGTCCTGCACGGCCGGGCACAGCGGCTCATGCCTGTAATCCCAGCACTTTTGGGGACCAAGGTGGGTGGATCACTTGAGCTCAGGAGTTCGAGACCAGCCTGGGCAACATGGCAAAACCCCATTTATTCCTTTTTTTTTTTTTTTTTTTGAGATGTTGTTTTGCTCCTGTTGCCCAGGCTGGAGTGCAATGGCATGATCTCGGCTCACTGCAACCTCCGCCTCCCAGGTTCAAGTGATTCTCCTGTCTCAGCCTCCCCAGTAGCGGGGATTACAGACACCCGCTACCATGCCCAGCTACTTTTTGCATTTTTTATTAGAGATGGAGTTTCACCATGTTGGCCAGGCTGGTCCTGCACTCCTGACTTCAAGTAATGCACCCACCTGAGCCTCCCAAAGTGCTGGAATTACAGGCGTGAGCCACAGCGCCCAGCCGGCAAAACCCTATTTCTATTGGAAACACAGAAATTAGCCGGGTGCACTGGCACGCACCTGTGGTCCCAGCCACTCGGGAGGCTGAGGCAGTAGGATTGGTTGAGCCTGGGAGGCAGAGGTTCCACTGAGCTGAGATTGTGCCACTGCACTCCAGGCTGGGCGACACAGCAAAACCTTGTCTCAAAAAAAAAAAAAAAGTCCCTTGCCGGGCACGGTGGCTCATGTCTGTAATCCCAGCACTTTGGGAAGCTGAGGGCGGGGGGGATCAGTTGAGATCAGGAGTTCAAGACCAGCCTGGCCAACATGGTGAAACCCCGTCTCTACTAAAAATACAAAACTTAGCCCGGTGTGGTGACGGGCGCCTGTAATCCCACTACTCGGGGGGCTGAGGAGAATCGCTTGGACCTGGGAGGTGGAGGTTGTTGTGAGCCGAAATCGCGCCACTGCACACTAGCCTGGGCAATAAGAGCAAAACTCTGTCTCGAAAAAAAAAGGAAAGAAAGAAAAGAAAAAATCAGTGGCTGGGCACAGTGGCTCACGCCTGTAATCCCAGCACTTTGGGAGGCCAAGGTGGGCAGATCATGAGGTCGGGAGTTTGAGAACAGCCTGGTCAATATGGTAAAACCCCATCTCTACTAAAAATACAAAAATTAGCCGGGCATGGTAGCGTGCACCTGTAATCCCAGCTACTCAGGAGGCTGAAGCAGGAGTATCACTTGAACCCAGGAGGTGGAGGTTGCAGTGATCCAAGATTCGTGCCACGCACTCCAGCCTGGGTGACAGAGCAAGACTCCGTCTCAAAAAGCAAAACAAAAGAAAAGTTAGTCCCGCGTGTGTGTGATATGCCAGGCCATGCACCCAGCTGACAAGTCAGACATCCTGGTGCTTGAAGACACCTGCTGTGAAGTTTGTCTGAGGGCTCCCCCTGGGGGCAGCCAAGAGTATCACGTTGGTGCCACCCTGGCCCAGCTTCCTGGTGAGGGAGTACCTGTACCTCCCCAGTCTACAGGAGAAGTGGCTGCAGGTGTGGAGGAGGGCATCCTCCTTCAGCTTTTAGCTGTAGCCCCAGCACCAGGCATATCCTTAGAGGCCATGCACCTGGCACCTGGCCACAGGAGTTGGGGGGTGATGCAAGAATTGGGCCCAGGTAGGCACGGCAGAGAGCCTGGCTCCACGCAGGCCTGAGTTCGTGCTCCCGCCTGCGGTGCTGAGTGGCTGGCAGCTCTGGGGCAAGACAGTGGGAGGGCACACAGCCCTTCAGGAGGTGGGAGCAGAGAGGGTACAGACAGAGGGAGGCCGTGGAGGAAGCCCCAAGACACCTGGGCCTGGTCTGTACAGTTGAGTCCATAGAGCAGCTCCCGGGTCCCTAGATGACAGCATGCTGGGTGTTGAGCTAGATGGGGGTGGTGGCTCTGCCTGTCCAGGGCCCTGAGCCAGCAGGCCGCACCTCCAGGGCCGGAGCCAGCCTGGAGCAAACACGCAGTTCCAGGTGGGAACAAGGAAAGTGGCCCTGAACTTCTGGGCTGGGGGCTTGGAAGGCTGTGTGTGTTGGGAGGCTTTCTGGGAGTTGGGGTGACCTCAGAACTCCAGATTTGGCACCCCAAAAGTGAGCTGTGTCAATCAATCATGTCATGCCACTTGTCTGGCCCTCCGTTTGCCTGTGAGAGGGTGACAGCTAGAGCCCAAGCCATGTGACCTTCAGGGAGGTGTGGTACGTGAGCCAGTGCCACATGGTACATCAGAGCAGAGCAGGGGTGGACCACAGGCTCAGGCCTCCAAACCCCAGGCCCGGCCACTGCGTGCAATCCCATGGCTGATTTCAAATTGCATGGCCACATGGATGACGCTGACCCTGCATTTGGAGCCAGCTACCCTCCGAAGCCTCCCTCACCATAGGACTGAGAGTCCCCCAGCCTGGTGCGGTTGCTGGATCAGATCACCAGGGAGGCCAGGACCACCGTGGCTCCAAACACCAGTTGTAGGGCTGGAGAATATGGCTGAGGTGGGGGAGCAGTACAGGGAGGGTGGCAGAGCAGCAGGCAGCACGGGGACTGGCAGGAGCCACCGGTGGGCAGGCCTGCCCCTGGCAGAACAGGTGCACAGGCTGAATGGGCTGTGGGGCCTGGGGCTCCTCTGGGAGCTTGGCCCCCACCCCTAGCCATAATGCAGGTCCTGTTCCCAAGGCAGGCACTGGGTTGGGGGAGACAGGGGACCATTCAGCAATCTCCTGTCACTGCCAACTGGACCGGAAGCAGGAGAGGAGTCTGCCAGCCATCCCCAGGGACTGTGGCCTATGTCCCTCCATGGCATCTGCCATAGTACAGCCCCACTGGGGTGCAGGAGACCCACCCACGCCCCTGCCCATCCTGGCAACAGGGCTAGGTCCTCTTGGGCCACCAGCAGCACCCGGCCTGCCTGGGCCTCAGTGGGGTCAGTGGGACCAGCCCCCCTGGCTGAGCTGTCACACTGAGAAGGGGGACCCTTTCTTTGAGAGGGAAGCACCTCTGCCTGAGCAGCCACAGACAGGAGGCTGAGGGCCCAGGTGTCCCCAGGTGCGGAAACGGTATTGGAGATGGAGAGCCCAAGCTCAGGCTTGGTACAAGTTGGGCTCCTGGTGGGTTTTCTGAGTCACCTGCCACCCCCGGGCCCTGGTGGCCTTATGCTGTGGCAGGAGAGGGTCTGGCTTGCCTCCCTAAGCCCCTGGGCTCACCACGACAGGCATGAAGCCCCTTTCCCTCCAGGCCCGCCGAGGCGCCCTCCAGGATCCGGAGTCCACGAAGAACCGCTCCCCAGCCCCGTCCCTCGTGGGAGATGCACGGGCAGCAGGCTTCCTTCCCCTGGAGGAGGTGTTCAGCCAGGGGAAGGAGCAGAGGAGAGCAAGAGGCAGAGGGAGCTGGTCACCAGAAACCGTGGGACTCCGGTTTCTGGCCCGGGCCCGGGAGAGCTACGAGGAGGCCCGGGGGCCGCTCGGAACTCACCTGCGTCCGCGCTGGAGCTCGGTTCCAACGCCGCGCTCTGGGACCGCTCGGGATCCGCGGGACAGGGCGCCGCCTCTGCCGGGGCGCACAACTGCTCCGGGCTGCGGGCCGCGCCGCTGGGACCGGCCAGAGGGGCGCGCACGCCCAGGGGCAGGGGCTTCCTCTCCAGGACCGTCCGCGGCTCGTCGGCAGGCGCGAACACCAGGCGCTGCGGCGGCGGCGGCGGCTGGTCCCCGGGCCGGGCCGGGGCGCGCGTGGGGTCCCGGGGGCCGCCGTCGGCGCTCAGCAGGGAAGTGCGGAGGCCGGCCACGAAGCGCTCAAAGGTCAGGTAGCCGCTGGCCGGGGCCACCTGGCGCAAGCCCTCCAGCACCCCGCGGGGCAGCTCCCGCGCGTCGGTGCCCTGCCAGCGGGACTCGATCTCGCGCAGGTGCACGCAGCCGCGCCGCCGGTCGTCCAGGATGTCGAACAGGGTGCGCAGGCTCTGCAGGAAGGCGCGCGGCAGCCCCTCCGTGCCGGGCGCGGGTGCGGGGGGAGGCACGCGACCCCGCTCGGCCATGGCGGCCCCGGCCATGGGCTCCCGGGCTCGGTCCCCGCGTCCACCTGCGTGCGTCCCCGCGCGCCCCACGGAGGGGCCGGCCCGGCGAGCTCAGCCCGCGGCGACAATAGCGACTACTTTTGAATGGGGCCCTCCCCGTAGCGTCAGCCCTCATTAACATGCGCCGCGGCCATTGGCCGAGCCCGTCCCATCTGCTCCCCGATTGGCTGAGAGACGGTTTGATTTTTTTTTTTTTTCTTTTTTTTTCCCTGCCGAGGGGCCCTGGGAGGCGCGCGGAGGCCCTGGGCAGGCGGAACCGGATCCCCCAGCTCCGGCTCCACTCTGGCCTAGCAGAGCTCCCTTTCTGCCCCACCCCAGTCCCGCCAAACGTCCGGCCGTGGCTCCGCGCTTTCTCGGATCCAGCTGTGGCCGGCTGCCCCGGCCACCTCTCCAAGGGGCGGGGCCTGGCACCCTACAACAAAACCTGTCCCCAGGTAGCCTAGTGGAGTAAGGATGGGGGCGCACCCCCTCCAAAGATCCCACTTTTCCCCTCTAGTTCCCTGGCCACAAGCACAGGTGACCCTGCGGCCCCCTTCTCTTCCACCAGGAGGGCCCCAAGAGGATCCTAGGCTCCAGCCAGCTGGGCGCTTCCCACTCACAGAGGCCTCTCTGTCCCCACGGCTGCTGGCTCCTCCTCTGGTCCCTGGGGACAGTCTGGCCTGGCCTGCCCGCTGCAGGACAAAGCCACTTTCTCCTGTGTCCCCAGATCCCCATCTGGTGACCAGCTCCCTCTGCCTCTTGCTCTTCTCTGCTCCTTCCCCTGGCTGGACACTTCCTCCAGCTGCTCTCCTGGTTCCCACAGCCCTGTCCCCCTGCCTCTGCTGTGTTTCCAGCTGGGATTTGGTCACTCTGTCTTCATTTGGTCTGTCCACATGGGAGGTGAGACCAGGCCTTAGCCTGGGTTCTAGCCCTGGGAGCCCATCTCAGAGCTGGCCAGTAGAACCCTCTAGGCGCCAGGGAGGTGTTCAGGGTGCAAACACCCTCTCCGGACAGGCCCCCAACCGGAGACTTGCCTTGGCCCTCTGTGGGTCTCCCACCCTCCCTCCTGGGCAGGCCTCAGCTGGCGTGCCTACCTGGGCCTCTGTCCTCAGGCCTGAGCCACTGGTGCCTGTGTCTCAAGCTGTGGAGGCAGTTTCCCAGTCCAGGGAGTGCCCTGGGTCCACTTCTCTTCTGGGTCACTCATTCTAAGTGGGACTCCTTCATGGCAAGGAATGTTGGAAAGACGTAAGACGCTCTGAGCCTGGAGTACCCGTCAGAGCTCGTTCCTGGAAGCTTCCCCTTTAATGGCAGGATCTGCTCAAAAACCCGGCACAAAGCCGAGGCGGGAGGATCACTTGGGCTCGGGAGTTCAAGATCACCCTGGGCAACATAAGGCAACCGTATTTCTACAAAAAGTTTAAAAAATCAGCCGGGCCTGGTGGTGCATGCCTGTGGTCCCAGGTACTTGAGAGACTGAGGTGGGTGGATCCCTTGAACCCAGGAGGTTGAGGCTGCAGTGAGCTGTGAGTGAGCCACTGCTTTCTATCCTGGGTGACAGAGCGAGATCTTGTCTCAAAAACAAAACAAAACAAGCCAGCACAACATGCAAGCCCTTTGTTCAGCAGTCTCCCGTCCCCGTCCACAGCCCCCAGCATCCCCGCACCTACCCTGTTTCCAGCACACCCCTCACCGCAGGTGCCAGGCCTGGGGTCCCTGCACTCCCTCACTTCCAGACCCCTGTGCCTGGTGGCTCTTCTACCAGGAAGGCCTTTTCCCTCTGCTCCAGGCTGACTGCACCACATCCTTCAGAACTCTGCTCCGGCCCCGATCCCCCTCCCCCTGAAGCCTGCTTAGATAAAGCACTGGGGGCAGCTTTTTCCTGTCCCAGGGGTCCACGGCCATTTGGAAGCAGGGCAGGGCTCCGTCTAGGCCTGGCATTGTCCTGGCCCACAGTGGGTGCTCTGTGGATGGCACTGGGGAGCCTTATCCAGTGAAGTCACATGGGAAACACCATCCTTGAGTGGGCACCAAGCCAGGCTGAGGCCTAAGGGATGGGGAAGGTCTGAGAACAGCTCAGGGGGATGGCAGGGGAGGCCAGTGTGGATGTAGAGTCGGTGGCCAGCAGTGAGCAAAGCTGCTGCAGCTCAGGACAGCGTGGTCAGCAGTGTCCAGGCCAGGTCAGCCACGGCCCCGCATGGAACTGAACCCACCATGCAGACAAAACAAGGGCTTTTCACACCATCCAGAACCTTGGGGGAGGTGGCCCCAGCTGGCCCTTGGTCTGTGGGCTTTTCTGTGGCCCCTGGCTGGGTATTGGAGGAAGGTAGAAAAAAGACTGGAGGCCGGGCGCAGTGGCTCACGTCTGTAATCCCAGCACTTTGGGAGGCTAAGGCGGGCGGATCACCTAAGGTCAGGAGTTCGAGAGCAGCCTGACCAACATGGAGAAACCCCATCTCTACTAAAAATACAAAATTAGCTGGACGTGGTGGCACGTGCCTGTAATCCCAGCTACTCAGGAGGCTGAGGCAGGAGAATAGCTTGAACTCTGGAGGCGGAGGTTGCAGTGAGCCGAGAATGCGCAATTGCACTCCAGCTTTGGGCAAGAAGAGAGAAACTCCATGTCAAAAAAAAAAAAAAGAGGCCGGGCGTCAGTGGCTCAAGCCTGTACATCCCCAGCACTTTTGGGAGGCTCAGACGGGCAGATTCACAACGGTCAGGAGATCAGAGGACCGTCCCTGGTACACGCTGAAACTACCGTCTCTACTAAAAAAATACAGAAAAAAACTAGCGAAGTTGACGACGGTGGGCACCTGTAGTCCCAGCGTACTCAGGGAGGCTGGGGCAGAGACGAAGGTGGCGTGAACCCGGGGAGGCGAGTTGCTCAGTGAGCTGAGAGTCTGGCACCTGCACTCCAGTCTGGGTGACCAGAGCAAGACTCCCTCTGGGGGGAAAAAAAAAAAACAAGAAAAGGCCAGGTGCCGGTGGCTGTACGCTGTAATCCAGCACTTTGGGGCGCGCCACGCGCGGGCGGATCATCCTGAGGTCAGGAGACGGGAGACATCCTCGCGCTAACCACTGGTTGGATGCAGACCCCCTGCTCCGCTAAAATACAAAAAAAAAATAAAATATTAAGCCGGGCGCGTGGCTCAACCCATGTAGAATCCAGCACTACTTGGGGAGGCCGAGGCGGGTGATCACTGATCGTCAGGAGATTGAGACCCATCCTGGCTATCATGGCCGAAAACGCCCGTCTGCTACTAAAATACAAAAAACTAGCGGCGAGCGGTGCGGTGGCGGCGCCGTGAGTCCCAGCTACTTGGAGAGGCCTGAGCCAGAGCAGAATGGCCGTGGAACCCAGGAGTGGAGCTTGCAGTGAGCCAAGATGGCGCCACTGCCCTCCAACCTGGCGACAGAGTGAGACTCTGTCCCAAAAAAAAAGGAAAAAAAAGACTGGAGGCTGTGCCTGGCTTTGGGTGTGGGACTAAGATGTGGTCCTGCGTCCTTCCTGTCCTGAGCTCTGACCACTTCCTCCTTGCACTCCACTTTCCAGCTGAAAAAAAAAAAAAAAAATCCTTCAGTTTTTAGTATTGTGTCACCCCTGGAGGTCCCATGCAGTCCCTGTACTTTTGGAGGCCCCATCTTAGCTGTAATTGTGTTCTCACTGTGTAAGCCTGGAAAAAAAAAAAAAAAAATGGCAGGAAGACCGGCCCCTCTGTCCCCTGATGTATCCCCAGCAGTGGGTACCAAGGGAAGAACTGGCAACAGCCCCTGAGCCTCCCAGGGCACCCGTCTGCACTAAAAAAAAAAAAAAAAAAGGGCCCTGCTCCCCTGAGTCGTTTGTGAAGACAGTTATCCGGCCACAAGGTGGTCCAGGAGGTTGCTGCCCACCTCAGCCTTGCCAGCACTCCTACCTGTCTGCAGGCTCTGTCGGCCTGGGTAGGGTCGCTCCTCCCCTTCTGGTGCCGCAAGTGCCTCTGGCTGTACAAACCCTGATTTTCTAAATCCTCTATTACAGCCCAACCCACACCTTGAGGTGAAATTAAAAAAAAAAAAAAAAAAGAGGGCCAAGAGTTCGTGTCCTGACACCTGCCTCCAAGAGACATGTGCCTCCTCTGCTGCCCAGCCCTGCAGGGGTGATAAGGGTTCCCATGGACTCTGACCTGGGGCGTGGAGCCTGCTCTGCTCACCTGATTCCGTGTGTGCCCACCCTCCAACTCCAATGTTCATCTGAACTGGTGTTCAACCACCACAAACTACTGGAGTAGAACAGGCCATTCATTAATTCAAAAAAAAAAAAAAAAATCCCTGAACATTTGCTGTTGCCCAGTCACGGTGCAGGCCTGGGTTCAACACTCGCTTGTTCAGTCAACAAACATTGATTGAGTGCCTACTGTGTGCTGCATTTATCTGAGGTGATGGGGGTAGAGCAGTGGCCTAAACAATGCCCCGCCTGGGCTGGACACGGTGGCTCACACCTGTAATCCCAACACTTTGGGAGGCCGAGGCGGGCAAATCACGGGGTCAGGAGTTCGAGACCAGCCTGGCTAACCATCTCTACTAAAAATACAAAAAATTAGCTGTGTGTGATGGCGGGCGCCTGTAACCCCAGCTACTCGGGAGACTGAGGCAGGAGAATCACTTGAACCCGGGAGGCAGAGGTTGCAGTGAGCCGAGATTGCACCACTGCACTCCAGCCTGGGCAACAGAATGAGACGTTGTCTCAAAACAAAAAACGAAACAAAACAAAAACGGCAACTCCCCGCCTTTGCGGGGTTCACTTCTCACAGGGGAGTCAGGAGAATGCAGAAAGGCAGCCTGGCACGGAGGATGGGAAGGTGCTCGCCGAGTGGGTGCGGCCTGGGGAGCTGAGGCCTGACCAAACGTCCCCAGACACACGTTTCTCTGGGGACAAGCGGTCCAGGAGGGAGGAACAGGAAGTGCAGAGACCCCGAGGCAAAAAAAAAAAAAAAAAACATACAGGTCCAGGAGAATGCATCTGGGCCTTGCCCCCGGCGGTAAAAAAAAAAAAAAAAATCAGTGAGGGCATGTGTGTGGAGGTGGGGGCAGAACCCCACTGCAAAAAAAAAAAAAAAAATGAGGGGTCCATGGGGCGGCATGAGGGAGATGTTACTTTTCATTAAAAAAAAAAAAAAAAAGTCAGAGGCGTGTGAACCAGAGCAACTCCATCTTGAATGGGAGCAAAAAAAAAAAAAAAAAAGACCTACTGAGCTGCGTTTCGGGATGGTCAAGGGATTCTAAGTAAAAAAAAAAAAAAAAATCGGCACAAGACACAGGTCATAAAGACCTTGCTGATAAAACACAAAAAAAAAAAAAAAAAAGCCAAAACCCACCAAAACCAAGATGTCAATGACAGCGACCTCTGGTTGTCCTCACTGCTACACTCCCTCCAGCGCCATGACAGTTTACAGATGCAGTGGCAATGTAAAAAAAAAAAAAAAAATGGTCTACAAAGGGGAAGCATGAATTATCCACTCCTTGTTTAGTAAAAAAAAAAAAAAAAAATAAAAACGGGCAACCAGCAGCCCTCAGGGCTGCTCTGTCTGTAAAAAAAAAAAAAAAAAATCCTTTACTTTCCTAATAACTTGCTTTCGCTTTACTGTACGGGCAAAAAAAAAAAAAAAAATTGTGCAAGATCCAAGAACCCTCTCTTGGAGTCTGGATCGGAACAAAAAAAAAAAAAAAAAACAATTTTTTTTTTGTTTGTTTTGATTTGTTTTTGTTTTTTGTTAAAAAAAAAAAAAAAAATCTTGTTGCCCAGGCTGGAGTACAATGGTGTGACCTTGGCTCATAAAAAAAAAAAAAAAAAAGGTTCAAGGGATTCTCCTGCCTCAGCCCCTGGAGTAGCTGGGAAAAAAAAAAAAAAAAAACACGTCTGGCTAATTTTGTATTTTTAGTAGAGACAAGGTTTCTCAAAAAAAAAAAAAAAAATCTCAAACTCCCGACCTCAGGTGATCCGCCTGCCTCGGCCTTCCAAAAAAAAAAAAAAAAAGAAGTGAGCCACTGCTCCTGGCTTCTTTTTTTCTTTTTTTCTTTAAAAAAAAAAAAAAAAATTTCGCTTTGTCACCCAGTCTGGAGTGCAGTGGTGCAATCTTGGCTCACTGCAACCTCCGCCTCCTGGGTTCAAGTGATTCCCGTGCCTCATCCTCCTGAGTAGCAAAAAAAAAAAAAAAAAACGCCACCACACCTGGCTAATTTTTGTATTTTTAGTGGAGACGGAAAAAAAAAAAAAAAAAGAAGCTGGTCTCGAACTCCTGGGCTCAAGCGATCATCCTGCCTTAAAAAAAAAAAAAAAAAGGATTACAGGCGTGAGCCACCGCACCTGGCCACCATTTGAATTCAAAAAAAAAAAAAAAAATATTACTTTTAGGCTTATTATAGTTTCTAGAAGAAAGTTTTGTGAAAAAAAAAAAAAAAAAACCCTTTCATATTTTTCACAAGCAAACGATTTTATTTTTATTTTAAAAAAAAAAAAAAAAAACTCTGTCTCCCAGGCTGGAGTGAAGCGG